TCAAACTATTCAATCTCGCAGAACCATTCATTTTGATACCAAGTGCCTTAATATTTCATTCTTATAGCCCATATGCCCTGATGGAAATTACCGAGCTTAAACCTTTTAACAGCTATAAGAGAATCATCCACCACTTCCCTTAATAATAGCACCACAAATCACTACTGGAATAAGCCAACTAGCACATTCACTACCACCGCAGAAATGATCTCAACCACACACCTACAACAGCAGAACATATTACAGCAAGTGAAGCAAAACAGACCTCTGACACTCAACTGTCTTACCAACTCTTTCTTAACCTTCCTACAATGTAAAAAATGGAAGGTTGTGTACTCATCTGGTTTCTTCATAAATATGTATTGTCTGAATGTATCTTCTGCCACTACTTTTAGGCTACTCATACTTGATATGCGTTTTATCAATGGAAGCTACTCTGTTCATCCAGTTTTTCATCCCCTGTGCCTTGATGGACTCATATGGAAAAAAATAAGAACTCAATCTAACTCAAATCGTGTATCAAAGTCATCAGAATCATTCACAAAAGAAATGCGAACCATTAGTTTTGATTGGAAGAACCAACAAGGCATAGCACTAACACCCTCACATTCTCAGAAAAAAATTATATCAAGACATTTTTATACAAATTATATCAAGATGAGTAAAAAAAATCATCTAATTTTCTTTGATATTAGAGTAATACAAATTCTTCATATATATATTTAATGCTAATCTCAAAATAAATTCAAGGATATTTAATTCATCCTTATAAAATATGTATCAGTATATTATGACACAGTTTCTTTCACATATGCTCAAAAGACTAGGCCTTGGGTGTAACAATCCAAATTCTTAACTATCGAGATATGATCCATTTTGGTATAAAAACCTCAAGATTTATTCCATTCTTATAACTTCACAAGAGGTTACTCATCCTACGACTGCCCTTATACAAACGCACTTAACTTTAAAGTTTCTAATAAAATTCCAACTATTATATCAAAAGACTCCTCAATTTTTAAGAGTTAAGCTTTATTTTCTTAAGAGCTTTCACAATCTCCACCACTTAGATAATTGATATCATCAATATCCTTAGCCCATAATCATCCACCAGGCATATATGATTTTAAATGAAAAGTTTCCATTTATAACATATCAAACTTTTAAATATTGATATATTGTCCGCTTTTACCTAGCAGTCTCACAATTGTCCCCTTGGTGTAACTTCATAGGAGATCATTCATCCTATGACCACTCTTGTACAAGCACTCTTAACTTTGGGATTTCTAATGAAATTTCAACCATTACACCAAAAGATACCTCAATTTAAAAATTTAGTTTTATTTTCACGGGGTATTTTACATTTGATTTGTTGCATGTGAAATACAGTGTAAGTAAAACAGCTTTATTTGATTGATTTAATGGGATTCAAATTTTTAATAAAAAATAGCAATACAAGCAATTGCTCTTGATCCAATCAAAAAGCCCCACATTCCGGTCTTCTTGAGAGCTAATGTTGGTTAAATAAGAACCCTAGAAGGCTGAAAGAAGACATGAACAGGATGTAAGATATACGCAGCAGCAAATTGCTTTGAAAGCAGAAAAGAAAAGGTAAGCATGCAAAAGAATACTTGTGATTTCCAAGTATTTTAGAAAAGCCGATGTTCCAAGTATTTTAGTAGAGGCGATGTGGATGCCATTACCGCTCCTCGTTCTCTTTAAAATAGAAATCGCGCCGGGGCTCCCGCCGAGGTTCAAGATGCAGGCTTGGGGCCGATGGGGTCCATCTAGGGTTTAGCTTTTTCGACAGATTTTTTACTGATTTTCAATTTTTTATATATAAATTTTATGAATTAATTTTTTTTTACAAAAAATATTTTTAAAAATAATAATAAATTATCTTAAATAAAATTTTAATTATTGTTAATTTAATTAATGACAATATTTTTGGGTATTTTATTCTATTATCTTCTTTCTTTAATTATTATTTAGATTTAACTAATAATAAATAACTAATATTTTTACTTAGATTTTAATTTTGGGTATTTTAGAATATTTTTACTACCAAAATAAATATTATATAGATAATACCCAATTTTATCCTTATTAAAATTATCTTAATTTTAACTTTTAATACTATTTAGATGGCTTAATGATATCAAAATTTGACGATCTTGGGCTCGTTGCATTCGTCTCATCGAGCCGCTCGATTCGATTATAAAAATGTTACATTTGGTAATCCAAATTATGGCTTGAACCTTCTAAATGTGCTCCGGGTCTTTTATGTGGACTCGTTTGGGCTCGGATTAAGTTGAATTTGGTATCGTTAGGTTCGTATTTTTGAGACGTCCAGCTCAACTATAAGTTTGTTGAAATCGGAGTTTAGTAGTCCCTCCTAACACTAAATAATTAGAGGTTAGCCCTTGTTATTTAACCTCTTATTCAAATAGAACCAGAATAATAAGAGATTCAATGTTTAATTACTCGACTTGATTTTAACCGAATGATATCATAAATATTAAAATTATTTAAATAAGATCTAAATAAAATAATAATGATATAATAATATAATTTTATGACTGAAAATAAGCATAATTCATACACAAAATATTCTATAATATTAAATTTAAATACCGTCTGCCTTTACATTTAATTTTTAATAAAAATTTAGTTTGCGTATGAGTATATAATTTAATTTAAATTATTACTAAATTATGTTATATACTTGGATATAATTTATACATATAAATTATATGACAAGTTCGCACTATAAAATAATACATATAAATCATTCATGTGTACGATTAGATATATAAAAATTATTTATTTATAGTGTATAATATATAAAATTTAATTACTATTAACAAAATAAATAAATATTATTCATATCATAAAAAAAAAATATATTTAAAATAAAAGAATCATCCCATCCTCACAAGCTAAAGAAGAGGGGATTATTTAAAAATAAATATCTATTTTTTTCTAAGGGGGATTGCAAAAATCAAGTGTTCATAGATAGTTAACACCAAACAATAGAGCTTGATTTTTCTTTATTGTTATTACAGAAGAATGGTGTTCACAAGCGAACAATTGATTGAAACCTAACAATATAGTTAAATATTGACAAAATTCTGAAGATGACAGTGATTACTAACATGATCGATGGTGACAACGACGATTGTTAGTGATAATAGTTGCTGGTGGTTGTTGATGATGATATATTAAAAATGTAAGATAACTCAATAGTTCTCTTTATTTTCTTCCTCCCCCTAATGTGAAGAATGAGACTTTATTTATAGACTTTTTAGAATGACATTTTGGTAATTTGAACCAGAATCCAAACATGTTTCCCTCGACCATGAAACATTTTTTCAACATTTAAGTGGCTTAAAGATGTCGGAATTGTGTGATCTTGGGCTTGTTGGATTTGTATTGTCGAATCATTTATTCGACTAAGATTTAAAGTTCAAGTGAACATTATTATAATCTTAAAAGCTTTTTAATTTAAAGATTACCTAAAGATTCAAATCTGATATGTTATAAAGCCATATGAATTTTTAAAGCATTAATATCCCCTTAGTGTATGCTTTTTGCTGATGATATTCTTCTTGTTGATAAGACTAGAAAGGGAGTTCAAGATAAACTTGAATTATGGAGATCAACCTTAGAGTCTAAAGGTTTTCACTTGAGTAGATCTAAAACTGAATATATGGAGTGTAATTTTAGTAGCAATAAACCTAGTGAGGGGATTGTGACTTTGGGCTATCAAGTCAATAATAAGAGTACACATTTTCGATATATTGGTTATATTGTTCAGAGTGATAGTGAAATAAATGGGGATATTATCAGCAGAATTCAAGTTGGATGGTTGAAGTGGAGGAATGCATCGGGCTTATTGTGCGATAGAAAAGTCCACCTCAAACATAAAAGAAAATTCTATAAGATGGTGATGAGACATGCAATGCTTTATGGTGTTGAATGTTGGCCATTAAAAGAGAAGCATAATACTAAGTTAAGTGTTGCAGAGATGAGGATGCTTAGGTGGATGAGTGGTTTGACCCTTAGAGATAGGATACAAAATGAGCATATACGTGAAAAGGTTGGAGTAGCTCCAGTGGAAGATAAGATTAGAGAGAGTCGCCTTAGATGGTTTGGTCACATTAAACGGAGGCCTTCCAATGACCCGGTTAGGAAGGTTGATGTATTATATTCGACTTATGTTAATAAAGGTAGAGATGGACCTAAAAAGACATGGTTAGAAAATATTAGAAATGATATTTTTTTATTAGATTTAAATGAGAATTTGACTTTTAATCGTAGACTATGACGAAAAAAAGAATTCATGTAGCCAACCCCCACATAGTGAGACAAAAGCTAAGATGATCCCGAGATCGTATTGGATGATATTTGGCGTCGGAATTGAGTTTTTAGGGTTTCTTGAAGCTCTCTTTTTAAGCATATCGTACGAAACGATCCTGCGATAGTCCTAGACAATATTTCGCATCGAAATAGAGTTTTTAGGATTTTCTGAAACGCTCATTTTAAGCACACGTACATGACGATCATGCGATATTATTGTTGTTGTTGTTGTTGTTATATTATTATTGATAAAAATCAACAATATGATAGGTTGTAAATTATTATTAACTATTTGCTAAATTTACACAAATATAAGAAAGATCATTTAAAAAAATATTTATTTGAATAAGATACACATATCATTTCACCCATACTTTTAATAAATTTAACTCCCAAAAAGATCTCATTACCTAATAATTATACCAACCGCACAGTAATGGAAGGTAAGGCCCAAGCTCGAAACAATCATTTGCATTAAGGAATCAAGAGATGCGGCGTGTGCATCGTGCCACGTGTGTACCCAAATCGACCGTCGGATTAAGATCAACCGGCAGCCAGCTCTCCGAATCGATATCACCGACTCGTGAGAGCGGCACGTGCCTCCTAATCCAAATTGGTCTTCGTCGAGCCATTTCTTTATTTATTTGTACAGTGTGCGAGAGAGTTGGGGAAGGCATCGGTGGTCGTCCCTTTCACCACCTCTGCCTACGATTATTATAGCATTTTCTTATTCTCAGGCTATTATCAATAAATCTAGGGCATTTCTCGTTCTTTCATGGATTTTCATTGACCTAGATGTCTCAAAAATTTCCCTTCGCAGGTAGTCAATCTTCTCTTCGTTTTATTCGGTGTTTAAGGTAAAGTCCGTGGGATCTTTGAGGATTCTGGCTCCCAATCCAGTCGCTTACGTTTTCTCCACCGTGAAAGATCAGTTTTTTTATTCTTGTTTCTTGCAATTGTTTTGACTCGGTGTATGTGTGGTGCATGCCTTGGCAAAAGATTCCTGGTTCAATATATTTGTTATGAAGTAGAACGTAGGCTGATTTAGTTTATTTTTTATATCTGGAATAGTGGTGTTTGCATCAATTTCTGCTGGGAAGTTTTCATGGGAGAGATTACCTGATAATTTGGGCGATCTTCCAGCACTTATTGTACTAAGGTGTTGCATATACATTTAAGAGCAGGGAATAATGATGTTTTTTTTTTTTCACGTTTGTGTTTTCCTATCATTTTTAAGTGATAGGGGAAAAAAAAAATCATGTTTTGCAGAATTTTGTGATTCTCTTTATGATACATGCTTATTGGCTGGCAGATTTCTTCTTTCTTTTGAGATTTCTAGCACCTTAATAAAGCTTTTTGTGATTGACATTTAATGACTCCGACCTTATATTGATATTTACATTCTTTAGTTATCATTCTTGCACAGTATATGCAATTAACACCCAGATTCATTGTGATCTAAGCACATATTTTGGTCTATAACTTAGTTTCTTATATGCTTCAGTAATTGCACAGCACTGTTGTTGTCCCAAAAATTTTCCCAGTTTTTAGATGCAATTTAAAACATATCATTGTAACAATAAAATCTGTTTTTGTTCTTACACATCGTATTTACCAATCAGTTAGTTATTATGACACTGTTCTTAAACTGTTATATATATAAAAAAAAACCTTTTGCTAAGTTTGGATGAAGGGAAAACATTGTAAAGGACGTGAATATTTTGTTTAAGAAATTTGCTTTTATCAGCTGTTATTTTTCCACTTCAATGGAAGTTAGTAGCCAGAAAAATTGTTGTTGTATGATGTTTATGAGCTGTCAACTTTCCATCCTTATAATAGATGGAATTAAAATTCTGCTGTGATTAATGGATATTTATTCATAATTGGTACTATTTCAACTGTGTATTTTGCTGGGTTACATTATCTTTTGGTGCTGATTGACATTTTTTCAGTTTGTTAGGTACTCCTGTTATTTGGGATTGTTGATGTGCATGTGATAGTTGGTTTCAAACAACCCCCAAGTTTTCTCTCAAAGGAATTTATCAGTTTTTATCTGAATTACGTAAAATAGCTAAGACGGGTGCTCTTTGTTGCGTGGCCGCTGGGCCACATGAGGCAAAATCTAACTCAGTTGGTAGGGAAATTTCTATGCATTCTAGTGAACCCCATTGGAGAGTTAACTCAAGCTTCTCACCTCCATTATCAAGGAGATGGGATTGCAGGGATCAGTCAGATGGATTATCACAGGAAATGCCTACTGCTCCTTTATATGGATCATCACTATCTTCTCATAGCAAAAGAAGTAGAAGTGTGATGAGCAGTGATCAATATGCTAATCATCATCATTCCGCATCTGATGGAGCACTTTCTTATTTTGAGAGCCCTTCCAACAATTTACAAGCATCTAGGTGGACGCCACCTGCGCAAAGATATGATCTTAGTGAATTCTCCACAGCTGCCGCAGGTATGATCCATTAATTTTTTTCTCCATTTTTTTTGCATTCAAAGTTAGTGTAGATTGTCTATAAAAAATATGACTATTTAACGTGGATAGATGTTTGTTATGTAGCCTCTTATTTGCGATAAGGTTGACTTTCTGGTAAGCCAAATTAGATAAACTTTTTAGCAATCAAATGCAATGAGAATTCAGATGGACAATTCTCAGAAACGACAATGCTATGGTTTGGTTTCATAGCTATTGTGTAAATAATATTTTACTGCTATTTTGCATTATCTATTTTAATCATTTATTGGCTTTTAGTTCCACATGCTCATATGTTATATATTAAGAAATGCTGACTATTGCTAGTTTTAGTCCACCAATAATGTCTCCGCTTTAGTGCTAAGTTTGTGATGACTTCACAAGCTTGAGAAGTTAGAGTTCTACTTTTCATCTTGTGCAGCGGGAAACTAATTTTTTGGTTATTTTATGGGCATTTGTAGGCCAATAAATAGGTTAAGATGGATCAAATATCCACCGGTGACAAGGAGGCCATAGTGCTGCTCCATTTGTTCTTTTATAATTTTGCATTTCATCTATTTGTTTGGTATGCTATGTCTCATGATTGGGGTTAATTCACCTTCGCCATGTCATTCTTTTGGAAAACTAATAGATAATAGAACATTTGATCAAATTAAATGGTGTTAATGACATATTTCTCCGCTTTCATGTTTATCTCCACATAATTTATCATTTGTTATTTGATTGTTGAGATGTATACTTTTGATAAAAGTGTAAAAAATATGAAGATGTAATTGGTAGTTAGCAAAGCTGGGCTATATCTTTTAATTGTTAAATGGTATCAATAAAAGCTGAACACATTATTTTACATTTTTATTTAATGAGGATTTTATCATAGGAAGATCTCGCATGGAGGCAATTTCTTGTTAAGGCAAGTCATAAAAAAGTTAAGAGTATCTAATGGACCTTGCACTACAGGAAACCCATCTATTTGTGGCGGCCAAATCCGGCACAAAATCCGAGAAATCCGTCGCAAATCTTGTTTTGTAGAACGGATACTGTTCCAATGCTAAAATGATTTTCACAAACATAGTTGCAACGGACAAAATCCATCGAAAAGTTTTTGCGGTGGATTTGTGACGGAATAAAACGACGACTTCGTTTTTGTGGTCAGCTACATATTCCGTCACAAATTGCGGCGAATTTGCGGATAATTCGATGCAATTTGTGATGGATAAGTCCACCACAAACTTCTATACCAGAACGTCGTATCAGCATTTGCGCTAGATTTTACATTGCAAATCCACCGCAACCTGTAGCATAACAAATAAAAAAGCTCTTACTATCATTATTTGGGCTTTCTAACAATCACAATCCAAGCATTTATAAAAAATAGTTATGCAAAGTAAATATAATCAAAGAGTACTATGCAAATTACGCAAATTAATGAACAAACAATAATAGTCAATAACATTATTACGATTTCAACATAACTTATACATCAAATGTATCAAAAGCCATCTCAAGCGATAATCTAATCGGAATCTGCATGCTCGCTGTCCAGCTCGGCCGATGGGGGCGCCGTTTGAGATCCGCTAATTCGCTTGCTCAATCTTCTAAGCTCCTCCAATATCTAAGTGTTCATGTCCACTTGAGTTTTTCAGACATTTTTTAACCTGCTTCTAAGTTAGCCACCTGCTGGCTAACTAAACTTCCTGGCTGCCTGCGGAGTGGCTGGTGGCAGAAGAGGACTGTCCCTCGTATACAAAGGCCTGCGAGCCTAATCCATAAATTCGCCCCTTCTGCATTTCGCCTACCGCCTATGCCCAAGTGTAGTTGTCAGAAACATCTGCAGAACATGTAGAGAATCCTTCTCTAGTTGCCGCCTGGCTCTCTTAAAGCCGTGTATACTTATCCTACGAACAAAATATAATATAAGATTAATCATTATATAATCGTTGCTTATAATATTTTTGTAAGTATAATATTCTTATACACTTACATATGCCCTCCTGGCTCGCTCATCTACCCGCTGGCCCTGCTGACGCTTATGAGTGTGACTGTGTAACTCAATCGCAGTGGATTCTCTACCAAGCATCTCTTTCTGCAATATACTTAGATTATAATGTATATACAAAGAAATTATTAAAATTTATAAAAGTTCTTACCAATCATCGTCTATGTTTAGTGTTTGGAACTGAGCCCCCAGTATGTAGAGAGCTTCCCAGGCCTCTGACGTTAGAAGCACTATCTGCTTGTTTTGCTCCATACTCGTTGTGTAGTCTGGGCTACACCAAGCACTTTTGAGCTCAACCTATACACACTCGCCAATCCAAAGCAGACGTTTGCTGTATAGTCTGGGCTACCCCAAGCAATCAACAAATTCTGATTTAGATATAATAAAGAAAAGTCATTTTTAATATTTTATAACCAAGCCTTTTTAGGTTTATCTCTACATTTCTTAACATAGGTCAAATATAATATATCTACTCTCCTAACCGGTTCATCGGAAGGCTGCCGTTTTATGTGACTAAATCATATAAGGTGACTCTCTCTAATCTTATCTTCCACTGGAGCTACTCCAACCTTTTCGCGTATATGTTCATTTCATATCCTGTCTCTAAGAGTAAAGCTACTCATCCACCTGAGCATCCTCATCTATGCAACACTTAACTTAATATTATGCTTCTTTTTTAATGACCAACATTCTGCGCCATAAAGTATTGCAAGTCTAACCACCATCTTATATAATTTTCCCTTAAGTTTGGGTGGTGCTTTTCTAACACACAACAAGCCCGATGCATTCCTCCACTTCAACCATCCAACTTGAATTTTACTAATAATATCCCCATCTATGTCATCATCACTCTGAACAATAGACCCAAGATATCTAAAATGTGTACTCTTATTAATGACTTGATCGCTCAAAGTCACAAACCCGCCACTAGATGTATCACTACTAAAATTACAATCTTTGTATTCGGTTTTAGATCTACTCAAACGAAAACCTTTAGTCTCTAAGGTTGACCTCCATAATTCAAGTTTACCTTCTAGTTTTATCAACAAGAAGAATATCGTCAGGAAAAAGCATACACCAGCGATCATCATTTTACAAATCTCTAGTAAGAACATCCATTACTAAAGCAAAAAGATAAGGGCTTAAGGCTGATGCTTGATGTAATCCAACATAAATTGGAAAATACTTAGGTCAAGTTACCTTCATAGTGAGCGAGCTCTGGTTGTTACTTCTGATCCACTGACAAAACCTTTGTTTCCCTCTTTTTGCACTAAACCCCATATTTAGTAAACCTTTAGTTCGACAGATTTAAGGGATTTGGCGGAAGAAGCTTGCGAAAGGGAGAAAGTTATTATCACAACAAGTGAGCTCCTGTTGTTGCTTCAAATCTCGATCCAATAGGAAGGACGTCGTAGAAGGAGTGAAGTCAAATAGCGAACGGTCACGTCGCTGAGGACTCGCGAGCAAGGAATGTCAGCAAGGGGCTAGTTGTTGCGAGCGCGGGGGCGGAAGAACAAACAAAGTTGAGAGCGAATGAAAGAAATGAGCTGGATATCGATTTAGATAAACTTATTTGTGGCGCAATTGCGGCGGAAAATCCGTCACAAATCCGCCGTAATTCCGTCACAAATTTTGTGATGCAAATTTTCGCTACAAATCTGCCGCAATTTTGTCGAAAAATTTTTTCTGTTTCAAAGCCCGCCGGAAATCACTGATTTTTCTTTAGCGTTTGTATGATTTTCATTGATCTTGATGCATATGATTAAGTATCACAAATTATTTTGGTATGTGTTTAGAAGAAAAATTGTTTTAAAGATATGTTGAGGTTGTTAGTATAGATATAAAAATTGTTTTAATTTTTTTTAATTTAGCGCTGATTAGTATTGAAAATAGTAGTAGAGCATTGTATAAGTAGTAATGGAGTGACCAAGTGCTTGCAATCTAAGCAAGATAAAATTTAGGATGAATTTTATTTTTATTTGTTTGTATTGGTTTTGTAGATTTTTTCTAAATATTTTTATTGTTATGTACCTTGACCTATATTATTTATAAATTACAAAGTGTTGTGATGTAGGACATCTTACTGGTAATTTAGAATAATGCCCGAGAAAATGAGTAGATATGTAGTTAAGTGGATGTGAAATTGATGATCAAGTGATAATTATGAGTGTGATATTTAAGTTTTTTTATTTTATTATACAAGCTAATAAAGGCATGAATGAGTGCATGAATTTTATAGAAAAAGTAGGTTATTTGAAATGAAAAAAAGGTTTTTAAAGAGTGTCATGTGCTAAGAGAATGCCATATTAATTTAAAGACGAATTTTGAAAATCACTTTTTAATTGATAATACCAGATGAATTTAAATGTTAAACAAAAAGTAGTTGATAGTGAAGTAGTGTTTTAAGGTGAGTTTGTGCTAAAGCTAAGAAGGATATTGTTAGGCATAATACTATTGAATAGATGGTGAGAATAATATCGATTGAATATAAGGTTATTTGAAAATAGAGTTGTGGAGTGGCCAAATAGTTTTTAGCCGCAATAAAGGTACATCAGTAATTGGCATTAAATATATATATATATATTTTCATTTGTTAAGCAAAGCTTAAGAATGATATTTAAAGGGAGATATAATCCATTATATATACCCCAATATAGTTCTAATATAACTACTCAATCAAATGAAAAATTAGGACTATAGAGGAATACTTCAAAAGATAAGCATCCGAAGATTAATAGATGAAAGATTGATAACATGATAGATAGTTTAATTGGCGTAAAACTAATAAGTATTAGTCAATAATAATTGAAGATTAAGTTATATCTGTGTGATTTCTTGGATCCTATTATTGAAAGAGCGGGAATATAAAGTAAGATTTAGCTTTTAGAATTACATTGGAGAAGTGTCTTAAATATTATAAAAAGTGATAATACCACTGAGACATTGATGCATTTTAATAAATTATAGTTTGATTAGTTATTCTATA